GTTCAGGGTCTGTGCTTCAAGTTAAGGGTTCTGTGTGAACCAAACTGTATGCATGTATGAATGAGACTAAGCCACGTTACTTTATCTTATTCACCTGATCATTTTATTTTCCCTGTGTGTTGTATTTAAATAAACCTTATTCTTTTATTTGTTTAAAAATCCATCCCTGGTCTGTGTGACTTCTTATAGGGAATGGTTGGTGGCAGCTTAGTTAACGTGTGGCATATCCCAGTAGGTCTGGGTTTGTCACATTGATCTCTACGATTTACTGGTTTAATCATCTTATAACTTTCTTTTCACGTCTTAGTCCAATCATCAGGACCTATGTTATATCCAATTTTTTTTTGCCCATTTTACCATATTGGATTATGGTCTGCATATGTATTTGGTAATATTTCAATATTCTCTAATTGATGTGTAACTTCCGCTGATATCCAACAATTATCTATTCTTGACCACGATTTATGTCTATTTGAGTAAAATGTATAGTCTCTTCTGTTCGGATTTCTGAGTCTCCATAGGTCAATTAATTGTAATTCTTCTGCCGTTTCTAGGAACACCTTAGGTATCATATTCCTCGTCTTTTCCCTCCCATTTCCATTTGCCTTGGATGTGTCCTTCTCTTTGTCAACTATTGTGTTGAAGTCTCCCATAATGCATTTTTTGTTCTGACCTTGGTATTCATTGATTCTTCAGTTGGAGATAAAATTTACTTTGGGCTTCATTTGGTGCATATATGTTAGCCAATAAAATTTTTTCTCCTTCCTTAGAGATTTCCACTATCAGTAATCTCCCATCCTCAGCGGCAAATACCAATTCCGGATCTAGCTCTTTTTTGATATACAAAGCCACTCTGTTTTTTCTTTTGTTTACTTGAGGCTATAAAGACTTTACCCAATTTTGGATTTTCTAACAGTTTTTTATCCTTTTCTCTAATATGGGTCTCCTGGATAAATATGATATCTACCTTAGCTTTGAGGAGTTAGCTGAATATCTTCTTTTTGGGGGTGAATTAAGTCCTTTCACATTCACTGAGAGAAGATTGACTTGTTTAAACATCTTGATGATTTTTACTACCTTTTTAATCTCTCTGTTCCTTTCCCTTTATTCTCCTCTCTGGAGATAACTTCCTTTGTCTTCCATCTCCTCTTGCTTCTTGTTTCTCCTCCTCCTCTGATAGCTTGTAAATCTTCTTCTGAAAGTTTAAATTCCTGTTTCATTTCCCTCATTAAGTTTCGGGCTTTCATTTTGCTATTAAGATTGTATCTTCTGGATTGCCAATTCAAAAGCAGTCCTTCTGGGATTCAGCACTGGAATGGTATTTTCCTGTCTAGTAATATCTTGGTTAGGAAGGAATATTCTTGTCTTTTCTTTCGCATGCTCCAAGGCACTTGTTTCAGTATATTAATTTTGGTTAATTTTGGTTTCTCTTATTGTGAGCTCTTTTTCTCTGTTTAAGCAGCTTTTCTTTCACTGTTCTTCTTAGGAATTTTATATGTATCTTTTTCGGTAAGTTATTACGCCTGGTGAAGGTGTTACCCACTCAAAAAAATTTTCCACACCCTATCTGGAATTCTTACCATGACCTTTGTGAGCTGTATACATTCTGTGCCTAACATGCACATTATACACTTGGGAGCAAGATGATTCTGAATAGCGAAAGTTTATACATACAGTCGTGCCCCACTTAACGATTACCCCGTATAATGACGAATCCGCTTCATGGCGATGTTTTTGCAATCAAATTGCAATCGCTAAACGATGTTTTAATCGGGTTTTTTTGCTTTGCGACAATCGGTTCCCTGCTTCGGGAACCTATTCTTCACATTACGATGATCAAAACAGCTGATTGTCGGGTTTTCAAAATGGCCGACGGCTGCTCGAAATGGCTC